TGTAAAGGAAATTTGGAGGAGGGGATTGTTATGATGAATTGGGTTCTGCAAATCTCTTTAGTGTATTAAAGAAAGGAAGGTTAATTGCTTAAACCCACCAGTACTGCTTCTGGTAGAGACTGCAGAAGCCATCTGTTTTACTGATGATTATTTTTAGTTCATTAATGAAAAGTTATTTAAGTAAATCAGTACTTGCATTTACATCTACTGACTAATAATTTGCTTGCTGTCACAGTAATACGGAGGTGATTAAAAACCGAATTGCATTTTTAAAAGACTATATTGAAAACAGTAGGAACCTCTGGCATACCACATACTCCTCTAGTAGAGGGAGTACTTAAGAGGGTCAAGGGACCTCTGACAGTGGAACCAGGATGTAACCCTGGTGCATGAAAGGACTTTGAGAGCACATTCCCCATGGAGGGATACTCCCTTAACCTGGAGGCCTAGTCCCTACTCCAAATGACTTGACAGATTTTGTTGATCCCTCCTGGAAAGCATCACCCTCCCTGTGGAGTATGGGGGGGTGGTTGGAGAATGGGAGGGGAGGGTGGTTGGGAAGGGGGGATGGGAGGGAGAGAGGGAAAGAGGGAGGGAGAGGGAACTGAGATCTATGTGTAAAATAAGAAAATAAGTAAATAAATAAATAAAATTCTAAAAGAAAAAAAAAAGAGGGTTAAGGAGGAAATACTGCATGGGTGTGGAAGGGAATTGTCACACAGAAACAGAATCCACACAAACAATGAGACTGTTATTAATAATGTCCTGAGCATCAAATAATTTAGCTTGATTCAAATTATTGCCAAATGGCAACAGATATTTTAAGCAAAAGCAAGATACTTAAATACATATTTGTTTTCTTTTTAACTGTGTGTGTGTGTGTGTGCGTGTGTGTGTGTGTGTTTCCCTGTGTATAGGTTTGTGCAGGTGAGTACAGGTGCCCAAAACACTGGCAGCTGTTGAGTCCTCAGACTTGGATGCTTGGGAATCAATCTATCTCTCACCAAGCCAGCTCTCCAGTCTTGAAGTTGCAGAGATCCATCATACGATCTCTGCCTCTTGAACATTGTCTTAGAGGTGTGTGCATAGCACCTGGCTTTAATGTACGTGGTTGGTTGGTTGATTGGTTGGTTGGTTGGGACAGGATTTCTTGAAGTCCCAACTGACCACAAACTCACAGCTAAAGATGGCCTCAAACCTTTGTTTATTTGGTTTCCATATGCTGCTGAGTGCTGGGATTATAGGTATGAGCCACCATGCTTAGTTTAAACTGTATTCAATGCCTAAAATATATGCTACCTTAATGCATGTGGCTACACATTGTACTGCTCATCTTGTTCATCTGCAACAGAAGATCAGCAGAATTTTTAAAAAGGCCCTATCACAATCTAAAAGGAATCAACACATTTAAAATATTTTACCCCACTCTTCCATGAATTTTAAGGTGAAAGCATGTTTTGTTTTGCAAAAAGAAAGTCACACATTTGGGACAAGATTATGTGATGATTTAGAAGAGAAGATTTCAAAAGTAGGCTGTGATGCCTGACCTCAGATGATGTGTACTCAAAGAGAGTCTATGGCAATAAGAAAGAAGCAAAATGCCTGGGCTAAAATAACACCTGGGCTGTTCATTTTTACTGATATTTCTAGAGTGATGTTGTTACTACAAAGTAATGAGAACCAGTTGGAAACAAAGATTTTAAAGCATGTTATGAATGTTAATTACTATCTATGTCCTATACAGACAACTTTCTGCTAGGTACAGTGATTTCTCTGTACTTCAAAAGACTGTATTTTAAATCCTTTCTATTTTCCCTGCATTTCTGTGTAGCTCTTGCATCCCTGCCAAATTGTTAATTCTTTATTTCTGCCCTGCCTCCAACATTTTCCAGTTTTGAGATTTTTTTTTTTTTGTAGTTTATACTTTTTCCGTATAATTAGTAACAGTACCAAATTCAATGTTTTCTTGCACTAAGTCGTTGGATTCTATTTCAGTGCCTGTTTCTCCTGTTAGAAGTTTCTATTTCCAAACTGCATGATAGAAAACATCTCCTTTAGGCTGAAGCTTGGGAGACCTGATCTTGGCATAATTGTTTTTCAAAGAACTAAAATAAGTCTACTTCGTATTTTATGTTGAATGAGACTTTCCCCTCTGGCTTTTGCCAGTGTTTACTATGACATATGCTTGATTCCAGAATTTCTGGCCATAAATAAATAAATAAATATGATTTGCCACTAATATTGAATCGTTTGAGGGGTTGTTGCAATGCTCATTTTACAGGCATTTATCAATTTCACTGTCAAAATAAATTCAGCACAATTTGTCTGTATTCCCGTACCTTAGTATAGCCAATTTATTTAAAGGACATAGAAGTTTCAAGGAGATTGAGAATAAAATTCCCATGATTTGTGGAAGTGAAAAATTAACTATCCAGTATCCACCTGGACATACCTTATCCTCTTCCTGTCTTCTTCCTTGTCTTAGCTATGAGGCTGTGTTAGCCCATGTCCAAAGCTGTGATATGCAGGAAGCCAATGGAAAAATAGTGCTAACAAAAGGGATGGCTAGTCAGTGTCGTAGGCCCTCTCAAAGATTTTAATTGGTGCCAGGCCCTATTGCAAATGTTTTATGAAACAGAAAATAAGAAATATGAGCCAAAACCAAAGTAACCAACAGCCAGGGACACGAAATGAAAAATATAAATAGGGTTCACAGGCAAAAGGGATGCAGACGAGTGGCAGTATTCAAAATGAGGGGCTTCAGTGAAGAATTGTGTAGAAAGTTTACTGAGTACAAATGTTTAAAGTGCACTTGAAAACAGACCAGCGGTTGGTAGGTTGGTATCTGTCTCTTAGTCTGAAGTTAGTAGCTTCACCATGATGTAAATTATACACCATCACACTCGCTTCTTATTTTACTGGCTTGAGGTACATTCCTTGCCTCCCTGAAGTAAACTGCAGAGTCTAGCAATTGAACTCATGCTTGCTGATAACTCAAGGACTTAAATGCATTCATATGGAAAGACATTCTGTTATGTGAGTTAAGGTCAGCCTTAAACCACTATACACACAAAGCAAAATTAAAGGTCTTAGTAGGCTGAGACAGAGGCAGAGACAGAGGCAGAGAATAAATGTAACAATAACACCTAAAAAGGGAGTTGAGAGTGAATGGGAGGGGAATTGGAAGGGGAGAGCGGAGAAATGATATTAATATCGTATTCATGTTTGAAATTCTAATTAAATGCTTAAGTAATGTGTGTTCTGAAAGATCTTGTGCAAGAGAGCCAAGCTTGACTCTGGTCAAATCTGGCTTCATCAGAAGTGAAGGTAAATATACACCTCCTATTTCTGTGCCTCGTTTTCCCCATGTGAGAAATGGAGAAAATCAATACCCATTATAGATGGCTGTTATTTTTGGTTAAATGAGTTCCCATGTAGCCCGTTTAGAACATGGCCTGGACAGTATATAAAGATCCTGCAGCGATAAGAGCTATAAGGCATGACAGTCTGCCTTCCCATGGAGGTTACCATCCAGGGAGGAAACAACTTCATTGCATTTTGTTCAAAATTCCACTGTTACCCAAAGAATATGAGGTTAATGAAATTTCACTAGCTCTGAGATGTTAAATAAGCAAAAGATAGTCATGATTTTTAACCAAGTAGAAATAAGGTTACTAATTTCAGGTAAGTTTGAAAGCTATAGTAATGGAAGAATGTGGCCATGAATCAAAACTTTCCTATAATACAGGCCTCTTAAAACCTTCAGGTGGAGTCATAGAAGTTGCTCATTGCCTGCCCTGGAAGAAAACATTGATGTGATCATGGGCCAATTCCTTAACACAGCTAGGCTTGTTTTTTTTTCTGAGTTTTAAAATGAGGGAATAGAATTTGGTGTTTTCTGATGCTCTTTTTAAGGTATAAAAATTGCAGGATAAATTTAAAGAATTATATGCAAGAAAAAAGTCCCAAAAACGTTTTAAAGGGGATTTTAAAGGCAAGAGTGTATTAGGAAAGGGCATCATTCGAGGACTGAATTCACACGGAGGGGGTGAATTTTTACAGTTAAACAGAATAGCTATTCTCGCATTAGGAGTTGAGATGGTTCTTACGGATATAACAAAGTACTTATCCAAACTACACTTCACATATGCCTCATAAAGCATGTATCAAAATAAGCAACAAGATATGAAACAAGGAACAGCTTGCTCCAGACAATCCCCAAGTCCCTCATCAAGCATTCAAAAAGCAGAACATCATTCATTATCCCATATTAAGGAAATATAATATGATAGACTCTAAGACCAGAAAACACATACCGTAAAGGGTGAAAAAGAAGAAAACGTTATTGGTCAAAAGAAAGGGAAATATGAACACTTTTTGAGATGTTATTAGAGAACTCCCATTGTAAAAAAGAAACCAACTTAGTATGATTGTTTTGTTTTTGTTTTTGTTTTGTTTTGTTTAATGTCTACAGTGTGCTCTTGAAACAGCGAGCAACATCAATGTGAGAAAAATAGATTGGCAAAAGAATGAGGTTTTTAAACAGAGATGAGGAGTGGAAGTTCACATCTAACAGCAGCATTTTGTTATGTTGCACAAACTTATGGCCACAAAGGTTTTATGACAGGCAACACATTTTTTTAAAAATTGAATAAAGAAGTAGCCTGAATAATTAAAATGCATGATAAAATTAAGACATATCATTAAGTCATTAAGTGCTATTTCTTTCTTGCTTTTTTTTTTTTTTTTTTTTTTTTCCAATATGTAACAAACCCAAAAGGCACAGACAGACCATGGAATATTTTCCGGTGAATGACAAAGTAATGAAAAAAATAAATTTATCATTTAATAAATGAACAATCTGTTAAGTGTGGAACATGTTTTCTGGAGGCTAAGTTTTCTCTCTTGGTTATTGCATCAGATCTAGGAATCGCTAGGTCACCCTGTGAGTGGAGCCACACCCACTTCCCTTGATGAGCATGCTGTGTCATTAACCATACCTGTGGGTAGCTGTCAGTCCTAGGTAAAACTGATATGTCGTAGGTGGCAGCAAAGTGGCTTTTAGCTTGCTGTATTTGGCCGTATCGTTCTCTTTTTCTCCACTTGGCCCGTCGATTTTGAAACCAAACCTTGTTTTTTGAAAGAGTACAATTTTAGCTGAAGGCCGTTACTTAGAGCAAATTTGACATGAAATTTTCATGTCAGAAAGGAAAATCAGCTCAGTAAAGAATAACATCTTTGCATCAGAACTAGGCCCACATAATTTACATTCTCTGGTATTCTGCTATAAGGCATGAGGTAACATAACAGAAAGAACGAGATTTTAGGCAAGTTCATCTATGTATATGTGTCTGTGTTTTCATTTGTGGACAATAAAATGGAATTTGTACATGGGATCATTCTCCTGTGGGTCATCATCCTCTAAGTGGGTTTGATGAGCCTGAGAGACAATATTGCATCCCTTCCTTTCTCCAGCTGATTCATAACCCAGTTATCATCTCTGCCTATCCACGAACAATCTTGAAAATGTGTCATAAACTGAACACTCTTCTGAGAAGATGTTATACTTAAATGACCTTGTAAAAAGTTAAAAAATAACTATCTGCAGATTCTAAATGGACTAGAAAAAATTTGAAATCAATCATAAATTAATATAAATTGCAAAAATATTTTCACTAAATTTGACTTTTAATTTGTGGATATGTTTTTAATACTAAATTCTAGTGTTGTATATTTTATAGTATCACAACTTTTGCTGCCTATTAATATTCAGTTCAAAGCCTACATATACATTGCACATTTGATATTATACATCAGAGAGTTTTCTGAAATCACAGCAAGTCTTTCAACAGCTACCATTTAAGTATCATTCCCAAGTTACATTTCTAGTATTAAATAGTGCCCATCGCTACTGGGATTTGACACAAGAGTACACATATTTTCCTATACTGAACACAGAGAAACACGAAGCATAAGTGCTTTCTGTCTCCCCCACCCCTTGACAGTCTCTTTAAAATAGGTATCAATTTCCACATCTGTAAAATGCATGGAAGAGAACAACCTGGATTAAAAAACGGATCAGCTAGGTTCTCTCTGTGTGTCCTCAGCTATGAGTCTGTACTGAAGGAGAAACATGCAGTGAACAGCTGATCAGTCTTCATGTAAACATATTTTTCTATGGTTACAAGTATAACTAATTTAAATAACAATCACGGGACAAAAAACACATGCAGGACTGGTGTTAATACCAGACAGTTCTAACAGTCTTCATTAGTATAAACTTTCTATGGGTTTTTTTTTTTTTTTTTTTTTGGCTGTACTGTGATGGAATTACCATTTGCTTCGAGAACGTCAAGCATAACCTGCTGGCTGTCATCCCCTAGTCACCACAAGTGGTCAGTAATGACAAATGGACCATATAAGCAAGACTAACTCCACTAACAAAAGAAAAAAAAGGCACAATTTATTCACCTTTCTATTACAGGCATTTATGAGAGAGGGAATTCAATAATGTGGTAAAAGTATACAAAAAGAAAAAAAAAGGTCTTTTGAGTTATTGCTGCCTTTCAAATTTGTACTTACTACTTGACAACTAATAAAGTGTAATTTAAAAATATCTGCTCTAGCCACAATAAAACACTACCAAGAAGGCAGGTAACATTTTACCCAATATAGTTTTTCCTTTTCATTTTTTACAAGAAATTAGATTCATTGAATCTTCTGGTTTAGTCATTTACTAAACAGTTTATAAATATAGTCAAGTACATAAAATTTATTTAACTTGGGTGTTAATAATTACTCTGAAAAGTCTGCACAGTTAACTAGACCTTAAAAATTAAAATGCAGTGGTATGTACTGAAAATAGTTGGGGCTAAAAAGCTCTAAATGAGCCATTTTATATTTCTTAAATTTTATTAGTGAAAATACCTTATAGTATATATACAGCTCTTTAGAGCTTATATTATTTCATTTTTTTACAATAATTCCAACCTAAATAAAGCTATAGATTTATGGACTAGTGTATAAATAATTTGCATATAACTCATAATCTAAAAAAACAAATTCATAATAGTTGAAAATCTACCAAAGTGATAAATTAAATATATATATAGGTAATATGTAAATATTGAAAACATATAAACATAGGTAACTTTGAATTTTTTTCACCCTTTAAGTTTTTTTGTTTGTTTGTTTAACCAGAGATATGCTACCATATTCTGTTCTTTTTAATGACTTCATTATTCATTTTCTGAAATAGCTCTTTTCCCTAAACTTAGTGAGTGGTCAAAATTATTACAACTAAAAAGAAATTTGAATGGGCCAATTTGATCACATTTTACTTTGGTACAAGTAAGATGTCTTAGCTGACGATGTTTCTTCCTTTTTGACAAATTACAGGTATTCGCTTTTCCTAATATTACCCTTCCCTGCAAGGCCAACTTTCAGAACCTACCTGGACCCTGGCCTCGGTGAGCTCTGTTCTCAGTGCCAGCTGTTCTCTGACATATACGTCCGGGTAATGGGTTTTTTGGAAGACCTTTTCTAATTCCTCCAGCTGCAAGCTGGTGAAGGTAGTTCTGTGTCTCCTTTTTTTGCTGCTGGATACATTGCTGTCACATTTGTCCCCAAGTTCATCCAGTTCCCCCTTCTCTGGCATCCCTTTCACAGGAGACATCCTGAGATTGTTGCAGCTGTCCATTGCTCGGTTCAGCTCAGTGTGAAGAGGCTGTCCTTCCACTTTGGTGATGCTATAGTTCACTGTACTCAGAGAGGGAAATAGCAGCATTCAGGATGGTGAAGCATACAAAATAAGCGATGTGAACTAATTTAGAGCATCGGGAAATGGGTCTGCCAGTAATTTACCAGTATTCTATCATCACATGGAGTGCAATTCGTAATTATCAACTCATTGTTGGTCAGCCTTAAAAACAGTTTTGAATGTGTACATGGACTCTTGCTTGGCCAAAGTCCACAGATCTGTTTTACATGGCAAACACAGTTTATGCATATCATTTTTAATCAAATTAAAAACAGTCAAGTGAAAATTTGCTCCAGACTAAAAAAAGATCTACACAACCATGACTTTTGAAATATGTACAAAACAAAAAAATGTACAAACCTTATAGTTTTATTTTGCACATAAGACAAAAATTAAACTATTTCTTGTTTTCAAAACAGTGGCACTTCAAGTTTAAATCGTTTTTTCTACCAACATTAAATCTATCTCCCATACCCTCAAAATGATGCTGAGCAGACATTTCAACGGGACATGATTTCCAATACATTTCACAGATTTGATGTCGTGTCTGAATTAAAATTTCCTTCAGAAAGCGGTCTACCATTTTTTACGTTTGTAATAAAGAGGTGTAAGATTTAAGTGAACTTCTTTACATTAAAGACGTCTTGCCTCCCTTGAACACTTCATAGTACCTTTTAACTCCTGCCTGCTTAGGTCGGAAAGTTGGGGGTTTGTTTCTCCCCCTCTAGGAACGCTGGGAAGTGAAAATTACAAAAATAAATAAGTAAAGTAAAATTAAAAATGGCACTTTGCATTCTGTCAAGAATTATTTCAATTTCAGTAACGTCCTTGGGATCGGAGTGCAAGCTTGCTTTGTAACAAGACCCTAATTGTATCGTTAAATTTCACAAACACATACAATGAACATAAGGAAGCAGGAGCTATTTGGGGTTTGTGTTGCTGTCGTCTCGGAAGGAAAACAAAGGCAATCCAGCCCCCAACACTAATTCCCAACCACTGATCCTACATTTTTCATGTGCTTCTTTAAACGGGGGTTGGGGTTGCTGGGGGGGGGGGAGGATTCCCTATTAAGAGTTTGAAGAACCATTTCATGCGTTCTATAAATGTATTGGCCTTTATTGACTATAATATTTAAATTGCACATTGATCTTATGCAAAAGAAGATGTGCTGTAAAAGTAAATATGAAGAGGGCTATGACCGATGAACAGTAAGGTTTTGTCTCAGCAGACAAGAGTTAAACCGGGAACTGCGGCAATTAGAGGTGGGGGAGGGGAAGCCGCAAAGACGCTGGGGGCAGGTCTGGAGAAAGACCGGCTTTTTTTTTCCCTCAAATGTAGCGGGTAACCGTCCGTGTTCATTTAATCCCATCTTTCTCCGTTTAAGTTCTTCCCAAGAGTTAGTTAGATGACCGCTTAAAAGTGAATGATTCACTCCAAATCAACCACCATTTCTCTCTCCTCTTTCCCGGACAATTTAAAAGACCATGGAGTTTATCTAGCAGTGGGCGCAGGCCACTGCAGAACCATAAAAAAAAAAAAAAAAAAAAAAAAAAAAAATCCGTCAGCTCAAATAACTTCACGCATGCATCTGAGAATGCTGAAAACACAAATGCGGGCCGCCGAAATGCAGCCGGGCAGCCAAAACTTTTTGGTATGTAAAAATTAGCTGTTCTGCTCTTTCCCAAAGAAATGATCGAGTCCACTTAAATGATAGTTTCTTCTGTTGTGTGCATTTTTGTTATTGTTGCTGTTGCTGTTGTTGAAACGGAACAAGTCAAAAGTCACTCTCCGCACTGAATAAAATTAGTAGACTAGGAGATTCATTCAAAATCTTTGTACAAAGCATCGAGCAAACCAACTCCCGAAACAGTGTATGTCTTGCCATTAAATAGGGGGGCGGAGGCTTGTTGTAAATATTTCACACTTAATTCGTTTGTTATTTTAACGCAGCCCGCTCCTTACAGCTCAAGGGTGGAGGATACCCTATGATAAGGAAAAGTCCTCTTGGAATCATAAACCTGCTTTAACTGTCGGCATGTGAAATGATAGGTTTGCACTGGGCTACGAGATAGAAAAAGATAGATGGTTTGTTTTGATAACATTTTGACTTGGAGATACTCTGGCATTCAGAGTTGAAGATTCTGTCCAGAAGCCCAGAAGCGTTTCAAAAGGCTCTTTGGGTGGCGTTTTTATGTGGAGTAAGATAAAAGTAGACAAAGCAGAATCCGAAAGTGGATGATGTTTATCGGAATGCTTTGCCCAAAGCCTATGCGACTCGCTGCGTAACCAGAACTTGTGTTTGCCGGCTGCAAACGCCGCGAATAAATAAAACTCCGCGGAAATCACAATGCACACAAGCTAATGTAGAGAGAGCAACAGAAATACAACATCTTTACAATGAAAACATCATCCCGCCTTGGACAATAAAAACAGTTTTGTTGTGTGTCCGTCCGTCTCCCCCCCGCCCCCCCCCTTCTAAAGGAGCTCAAAGAGTTTGGATTTCCTGACCACTGTGACGTCCAGTGATGGATTTCGCGTCCTTGCGCCCTGGCATCCCGGCGGGGCGGGATCACAACAGAGGAGCGCTATCTTGACTCAATTACGCTCTATTTAGCGCCCTGTTAGCTTATACTGGAGTCCTGGTCCTGTCCAGTTGCGGCTTTTCGGGGAGAGTGAAAAAGAATTCGCTCAGGATTTAGCCCTAGACCCGGGTCAGTTGCCGGGGTCCCAAAGCACGAGAGAGTGCGGGGTGCCCGGCTGCGTCCCTCTGTGTCCCCACAGCCTGGATCCCTGCTCCCTCATTTTTTTTCACTCTGACCCGCACCCCACCTCCCTTTGGGAAAGGACAACTGAGTGAGGCTGGGGCTGAGACTAGAAGCTCCGGCCTGGCCGCCCGGAAATAAGGATTAAGATGGGGTTGGGGCTGGAGCGCGGCCCGGGTCCCGGCGACTTACCGCTGCTGTCCTGACAGGGCGAGGTCCTGTCCAGTCGCACGTGATGCTCAGCTCTCGGCAGCGGCCCGAAGGCCTGCACGCATTTGCCTGGCGTCGCTTTGCCGTAAAAGGACTCATTGTCCAGCGTCTCCATAACGTGCTCCAACGCGCCTCCTGTGCCCATGTAAAAGTCACTGTTTTTACTTGGCGGGCTCTTGAGGGCAAACTTCTCACTCAGAAACTCCATAATCCTGCAAGGCTGTCGGCGAGCTCCCGGGCGCGCAGGGAGGATGGAGGGCGCTGAGGGAGGAGGGAGCGAGCGGTGGGCGGGAGGAGGGAGGGTCAGAGAGGAGGGAAAGGGAAGCGAGCCCCGGGCTGCAGAACGGGGCACCCGAAGTTGCTTTTATATCTTGAAACTCAGCTGGGCTCCTGCGGCAACCTCCCAGTCCTAATGAATATGAAAATAGGCAGGGACTAACTCCACCCCAGGGTCCCCCCTCCTCCCCCCACCCCCATCTTCCCAACTCACCCACCCAGGGCAGGGCGCGCCCCGGCCTGGTTCAGACAGACAGTTCCATTGCAGACAAACGCCAGGAGAGACAAGGCCCCGGCACCCAGAAAACCAGAAAACGTAATCGCCTCAACAGTGGACTGGCATTGCGGAGGACCCTGGTGAGAACGCAGAGCGGTGAACCCTCCAGTCCTAGCGCCCTGCTGGGCGGCCACCCCCCCCAACTCCCAACGCCCGCTGTCCACCCCGCCCCCACGCCAGCCACTAACTCCCAGAAGATTTAGAGGCATCTTAAGAACTTGAAAGGAAGTATTGCTCTAAAGAGCTTTTATTTCATCCGTAAATCGTTTACGTGGAAGATCCACATTGATCTGAGCCGGAGAAGCCGGATACAGCGGCAGCTGTTAACTGGGTCGCTGGTGGTAGAGGGGCCCGAGGTTGCCTCTACCCCAAAAAAAAAAAAAAAAAAAAAAAGGCTGGCGTGGCGGCGGGGACACAGCGCTAGCCAAGGCCCAGGGGCCGTGTGGAGGCGGTGGGCATGGGATGGGACGGGAGTTTGCGCAAGAGTCCTTGAAAATAACTACATCTTACCACTACCAGCCGGTTTCCCCACTGCTGCTCTTGTTCCACGCGTTAATCATTAAGAGCACAATTCTTTCTTCAGAACATTCTTAAAGACAAGTGCCTCCGGTTCGTACTGGAGGGCAGAGGAAGGCTCATCACACAACGTAGCGCCTCTGTGTGTGTGTGTGTGTGTGTGTGTGTGTGTGTGTGTGTGTGTGTGTGTGGGTGTTGGGGGGGGATAGGGATGAAGGTCTAAAGTGTTTTAACACTTAACTATTACAGCTAGTAGTTTTCTAGAGTTGGGGCGGCGCCTTCGAAAAGGCTAATGGGGAAGCGGCTTCCTAAAGGATGGCGAGGAAGCTACTGGCTCCCGGGAGTGGTGGTGTTCGACGCACGCTTGCGGGCCCAGAACCTTTGGTCCGGCTGAAGGAGATGCTAGGACGGGTAAAAAAAAAAACTTCCCTTTAGAGCTGAAAACCATTCTGCTTGGCCTTGTGCCCGCCCGACTTAGGCTTCTGAAGAGCCCAAGGCGTCTTAGTTCATTGCCTTGGGCACATACCAGCAGCCATTTGCAATGGATCACCCAAGCTTGCAAATTTGGTGAAACTCCCCTACAAATTGTGGACGAGGGAGGTCTCTGTTCACCGGTCCTGACCTGACACAGCCTTTCCTCATCACAGGCCTTTCCCCAGCGGATGTCACTTTTCTCCAGGTTACTTTGACAATTACACCAGAGCCTTCGTGCATCCTGCCTCAGCCGGTGGCCTAGCCCAATTCAGAGGAATGTCCCTCAACAAGGGCTCGGACATTTCCAGTTCTTCCGGGTCCTTCTGACTCACACTTCCCAGGTGAGACCCTCTTTGATGCCCAACCTGGACATTATCGCGAAGAAAGATTCCATCCCAGGCACCGTGTGAACACCGGAACTGCTTAACACTGTCCCAAAGGCGTGGCTGACAATGAAAATCAGATTCCATCGGGTGGGACAAGCAGCAGAAAGGGCAGAGGCAGCCACGAGGATCTCCGAGCCCGTGGTCTAACACAGACAGTTCTCCCAAGGAGGGAAGCCTTGCTCAGCAAGTTGACACTATTCTGCCTTTTTGCAGGTTCTATTGCGTTCTTAATTGTTCTCTCTGGAGCATTGATTTAGACCAATGGCAAAGTGACAGATCTCTAAAACTGGTCAAATAAAAGCACCAGCACCGCGGGTACAGCGCTTTAGCTGAAAGGGTATCCGGGCTCCAAGCTGGGCACTCTCTACAGTGTAAGGCCGAGCTTGCTTCATCTTAGCTGGAGAGGGGAAGGGAAAGCCCAGGAAATGTGTGCTGGAGGTCTTGCTTACAAATAGAGTGGCTGTGTTCATGGGACCCTCTCTCAGATTAGATTGTTCCTTGGGACTTTGGAGGTTGAGTTACCCACTCACTCCTTGTCTGCTTGGTAATGTTGCAGGATCTCATCTCTCCTTTGAAAATCTATCTCACCTCTAGGTGTTTTGAAACCATGCTTTAGTAAACACGGGGAAGGCAAAAGAATAGATTTTTGATGGGTCTTTCAAATATTCACAGCTGCAAGCGCTTCTATTACCAATGAAGAACAATGACGAGAATTCCCAGTTACAAACTTAGCTCCGTTGTGGAGCTATGTTGGTCTGTTTATAAATATGCGCTTTAGGAGCTCCACATTCCCTGAAAAACATTCGTTGTCTTTTAAATCAAAGACATATGATCCGAGCTCTCCAGTACTTGTACACCAATGGAGGTCCAAATAGGAGGAAGCGGAAGTGTAGTCCAGGTCCATTGGAGCCTAGGAAGCCTTTTCCACCCCATTACCAAAACCCACTTTTGATTGCAGTGGTTGAAGGGGTGGGCTCAAGGTGCCACCCACCCACTTCAGATGCCCGAAACCTCCTGGAAATTCAAATCTATTACACGGAACCCCTTCTGTTTTGGGACATGCAACCACATATGCCCATAACAGAGGGGAAAGTTAATGGCAAACTCCCATAACGAATGCATAATCTGCAGTTTTTGGCAAGAAGCTGGGTCTTCGGTTGCCAGGAGCAGCATTAAACAGACTTTGAGGGGTTGACATAGAGTTTACAGAAATGACACAGCCCTAGCCATTAGGGCATTGACATTAAATTGAAATAATAATTAAGGTGATGATAATTGAGTGGTTTCTGGATGCCAGAAGAAGGGGAAATAAAATTGGAGGTCAATTCACCTGTGCTTTGTCTGTCCTCTGTTTGGGAGATAATGTTGGAAACAGACTGGAACACTTCACTAAATGCTCTCAGCCACTACACACGGATCCAGTGTGGGTGCTAACTCGCTTTTAAAATTGGCTTTTTCTAGGCTTTGCCCCATCTCAGCACTCTCAGATTCCAACCACCTGATGTCAGCGATGGCTGGGAAGGAGAAACCAGTTAATTAAGTCAGGATTTAGGTAGCTTGCCTCAACCCCCTCAGCCCTAGTCTGTCATTTCCAGAATAGTACCTTGCTTCTCCAGTTCTGAAAAATTCTTTACACATTCACAATGTGTGATGGGAACTCAGGATACACCTTACCTCTTTTCACATCACCGAACAAGTCAATCAGAAATAGATCTCTTTGTCTCATGTGCTTTCCTCACGTTTGAATTTTGAGGGTAGGATATCAACAGAGATGGAGGACCATTCTTTCTCTTTTTAAGCCTGAAAAACCTTCTGGACATCTCGGGATTCCAACACTTTTAGATCCCTGGAAGTTTCATAGTTTTGGATGGAACCTCAGTACCAGTGGGGGGGACATTGGGATGAAATGTAAAAAGCAAGCAAGGAGATGAAGGGGTTAAGAAGACTATTTTGGGTGAAAGCCTAGGCTGTTTTCTCCTCCAGTAATTAAGACTTGCTGGGGGAAAGGAGACCCTTCTTCTGGAGACACTTGATGGCAAAGACTTGGAGAAGGTATTCTGTGAAGATGACTGTTTCTTCCTTTTGAAGTTATACCTAACATTCACTATTCCTGTAGAGCTTAATGTTACTGTCACAAGCTGGCAGCCTCCCATGTAGAAATATGGTTTGGGTATTTATGAAGTTTTCTTTATTTGGCTTCCCTTGAAGGAATAAAAACCAGAATAAATATATGACCTAAAATATTTGAAAATTCCATTGATACAATTATTTTACACTCCCTTTGTGGAGCACCTGATTAGAACAATCAGATAAGCAATTGACTTCACAGGGCAGCTTCACTCATTTTGTACTAAAATGAAGACATTTCACAGATTAAAAGACACTTTGAGGAATGTTCTTCCGTATGCAAATGCATTTTAGGAAAGGATGTTTCTATTTACACCCAAGCTGTAGAGAAGACAACACGTGGGACACTCCAGTTTCTTTCTCAACTCATGAAATGAAATGTCGTGTTTGTACACTAATTGTGGGCATGTCAAGACAAGACCCCAGACATTTTAGTTTTAGCACTTTCTTACTGCAGAGAGAGTTTGGGGCTTGTAAGTAAAGTTTGGGTTTTGGGGCACATGTATACATGCTGAATCAGGCAAAGTATGCCAAGTGTAGAAAGGCAATGGTCTGTAGAGTGGGGAGGAGCTGGAGAGAGAGAAAGTCTCCTGAAAAAGGACTACAATAATTGAATGTCATGTACTATGGCAGGAAGCCAAGTGGCCTCCTGTTTGTGTATGCTGTGCTGCTGGGCTCCTTTCTTGGTTTCATCTTCAGCCTTCCCACAGTTCTGCAGACACAATTGATGCAGAAATGTATATTGCATCAAAGCAGCTTGATAGTTTTCACACACACACACACACACACACACACACACACACACACACACACAGAGAGAGAGAGAGAGAGAGAGAGAGAGAGAGAGAGAGAGAGAATATATATCTCAAGTTATTACAACCCCTGAAAAACTTGCCTAGAGACATACAGACAAGTGTGGACCTTGTCCTGTTTGTGAATTGAGTCTTCTATGACAATGAGCTGTATGAGAAAGGAATTCTGAAGTCTTTCAAGTGTGCTGCTACAAAGCCCTCTGACACTATGGGCTATGTTTATCTTGACTTCAGTGGTAATATTATTTGGTATCCCAAAGCAACTCATGAGTTTTCAGAGAGCTATATTTGTTCATGAGTTTCAGCTGGTTTCAGTAATAGGTTTTTACATAGTTGACTT